GAGAAGTGGTGCGTCGGTGCGCGCCCGGGATCCGAACCCGGGCCACCAGTAGCGGAGAGGGCACACTTAACCACTAAGCCACTGGGCCAGCCCAGACCAGGAATTTAAAACAACTACGATTAACATGCTGAGGGCTCTAACAGAAAAAGTGGACATCATGCAAGAACAGATGCAAAATGTGTGTAAAGAGATGGAAACTCTAAAAAAGAATCAAGGGGAAATGCTAAAAATCAAAACCACTGTAACAGAAATGAAGAAAGAAGGAGGCCTTTGATGGGCTCATTGGTCAACCAGACAGAGCCAAGGGAAGAGTCAGTGAGCTTGCAGGTATGTCAATAAAACTATTAAAACTGAAAAGAAAAAAGAAAAAGACATTAAAAAAAAAATGGACCAGAATATCCAAAAACAGTGAGAAAACTACAAAAAGTGTAACATATGAGTAGTGGGACTACCAGGAGAAGGAGAAGAGAAAGAAACCCAAGAAATATTTGAAACAATAATGACCGAGAATTTCCCCAAATTAACGTCAGACACCAAACCACAGATCCAGGAAGCTCAGAGGACATCAAGCAGAATAAATAGCAAAAAAAACTACACCTCCACACATCATCCAAACTGCAGAAAATCAAAGACAGAGCAAATCTTGAAGCAAGCCACAGGAAAAAAGCACCTTACCTACAGAGGAGCAAGGATAAGAATGATATTGGACTTCTCTTCAGAAACCATGCAAGCAGGAAGAGTGGAGTAAAATACGCAAAGTGTTGAAAGAAAAACCTGCCAACCCACAATTCTGAATCCAGTCAAACTGTCCTTGAAAAGAGAAGGAAAAATAAAGATTTTCTCAGACAAACAAAAATTGAGGGCTTTCACAGTTACCTGGCAGGAAATGTTAAAAAATCTTATTGAGAGAGAAAGAAAATGATTTGGTCAGAAATTGATTTATATAAAGAAAGGGAAAAACATGAATGTAGAAATAAATAAAGGTAAAATAATATCTTTTATTATTTTAATTGATCTAACAGAAAACAGCTTTTCAAAACAAAACTAGCAGCAATGTATTAGGTGATTACAGCTTAGGGCTAAGTGAAATGCATGACTGCCAATGGTGAGGGGGCAGAGGGAGGACGGAGTGGGGGGGTACTTGGTTGCACAGTACCTGCACTACTCGTGAAGAGTTAAGTGCTATTTGAAAATGGGTTTAGATTAGTTGTAATTGTAGACTGCAAACCCTAGGGCAACCACTAAAAATATTTTTTGAAGAAGTATAACTGATATGCTAAGAAAGGAGAAACAATGGAATCATAAAATGCTCAAATAAAACCAGAGAATGCAGAAAGAGAGTCAAAAACCAAAAAAAAGAAAAGAGGGCCGGCCTTGTGGCTTGGTGGTTAAGTGCGCGCGCTGCGATGCTGGCGGCCCGGGTTCGGATCCCGGGTGCGCATTGAGGCACCACTTCTCTGTCCATCCTGGGGCCGAGTCCCACATACAGCAACTAGAAGGGTGTGCAGCTATGGCATACAACTATCTACTGGGGCTTTGGGGGCAAAAAAAAAAAGAAAAGAAAAAAGAAACAGAACAAGAGCAATGAAAACAGTTACAAATACGGTAGATATCAAATACAGTAGATATTAATCCAACTATATGAATAATCACTTTAAATGTGAATAGTCTGAACACACAAATTAAAAAGACAAAGACTGTCAGACTGGATAAAAAATTCAAGACCCAAATAAATATGTGTTGTCTACAAGAAACCCACGTTAAAGAGGAGCATTACGTAATGAAAACGGGGTTGTTTCTCTAAGAAGACATAACAATCCTTAACCTGTATATGCCTAAGCACAGAACTTCAAAATACATGAGGCAAAAACTGATAGAACTGCAAGGAGAAATATACAAATCCACTACTCTAGTTGGAGACTTCAGCTCTCCTCTCTCAGAAATGGACAGCCCCAGCAGGCAAAAAAATCAGTAAAGACATAGCTGACCTCAACAACTCCATCAATCAATCAGATATAATTGACATCTATAGACGACTTCATCCAACAACAGTAGAACACACTTTCTTCTCAAGCTCACATGGAACATTCCTGAAAACAGAGTATATTCTGGGCCATAAAACACACCTCCACAATTTAAAAGAATAGAAACTATACCATGCACCACATAATGATGATTTGGTCAAGGACGGACTGCATATATGATGGTGGTCCCATAAGATTAGTACCATACAGCCTACGTGTGTAGTAGGCTACACCATCTAGGTTTGTGTGTAAGTACACTCTATGATGTTCGCACATGTTCCCACAATGACAAAATCACCTAACAACGTATTTCTCAGAACATATCCCCATCATTAAGCCATGCATGACTGCATGTTCTCAGATCACAATGGAATTCCTTGAAAGACACAACCTACCAAAATTCACATAAGGAGAAATGGATAATCTGTTAATCCATATGAATCTGTTAAAGAAATTGAATCAATAGTAACATCTCCAAAACAGAAAGCATCAGGCCCACACAGGGTCACTGGTGAATTCTACTAAACATTTAAGGAAGAAATTAAACCAATTCTCTATAATTTCTTCCAAAAAATAAAAACAGAGAAAACACTTTCTAACGCTTTCTATGAGGCCAGCATTACTCTAGCATCAAAACCAAAGACACTACAAGAAAGGAAAAACTACGGACCAGTATCTCTCATAAACACAGAAGCAACAAAATATTAGCAAATTGAATCCAACAACATATAATAGGAATTATACACCACAACTAAGTGGTATTTGTCCCAGATACGCCAGGATGGTTCAACATTCGGAAATCAATTAATGTAACCTTTCGCATCAACACGTTAAAGAAGAAAAATCATACGACCATATCAACAGATGCCGAAAAATCACCTGACAATATCCAGCACCCATTCATGACAATAACTCTTAGCAAACTAGGAATAGAAGGGAACTTCCTCAACTTGATAAAGAGCACCTGCAAGAAACCTACAACTAACATCATACTTAATGATGAGAAGCTCAAAGACTGCCTAAGATCAGAAACAAGGCAACGATGTCCCCTCTCACCACTGCTTTTCAACATCATA